AGGAGTTTTCGGGGGCGGGGGGAGGTGGGGGTGGAATGATTTCGGACCAGTCAAGCACGACTCCTCCGACTTCGTTATTATTATCCCTTCGAGTTTGAGATCCCGTCGAGGTAAGTGATCTCTTGGATCCACGCTGAGGGTATCTCTCGAAGGACATAAGTGTTGGAGCCCGGCCTAAAAAAAAAGAAAATGCATATCCTAATGAAGGCCTGGAGCGGGTTTTACCCAAATTGGGCCAATGTAAGAATGGAAGATACCTTTGCAGGAGCTTCCGGAATGAGATCCCGGTCGGAATTGACCGGCGTTGTCATAGAGAAGGACATCCGGAACAGGGCTAGGGGACCCGTTTCCAGAGTGGATCAGACTCCTCGACTCCAAATACGACTGGATCACCGCTGTAGATGCATACGGTATCGGGGTATTGGAGGGATTCCCGCCGGTTAAGAGAAGCTGCTGTTCGCTGGAATCCAGCCCGTGTCCATTCAGGGCCTTTTTTTCCGAGTCCTCCCCTGGATTCCCCGTTGGCTCTCCTGGTCCATGACGTCGCCACTTTGGCTCTAACCAAAGATTCTCTTTCCCTCCGTTCAGATAACACATCCCAGGTACTTTCTGGGACTCTGGAATCGAACAAAGGACGTAGGCGCAATGCTTTCACAGGCCTCCAAAAATGTGTTCAGGCTTCTTTTCCATGACCTGAAGCTTTAGATGCGGCAATTCAGACCGCGAGCGATAATACTGTCATGAATAGACTCGGTGTTATTAAGCTATTCACACACGAAAGCGATAACGCGAATGTCTCTAAATTAACACATTCTTGACAGTCGCAGGGATCATGTGCTACCTTTGAATAATTCGCGCCTGTTATAAATTAATGTTTGCAGTGTAAATCGAGTCATGAGATGAATCATAAAACACTGATAATACAGCAAAGTAAGCAAGCTGCTGTCTCACCGGTGAAGCCGCCAGTGGAGAATTTATTGGCCTGTCTCCTGCGGATCGAGATGATAACGACGAAG